TCACAGAGCTGTAGCCTCTGGTGCAGTCGCACCTTGCGGTGCTGCCAGATGCTCTCGAGCCGCCGCTGATGGTGCAGCACCTCATGCACCACGTCCAGCACCTGGTGCACCGCCTTGGAGTAGTTGGCTGTGGCCGTGAGGGACTCCGAGTTCCCAGGACTCAGCGGACGCTGCAGCACATCCAACAGGGCTTTGCCATCTTGGCTGACCTGCAGGGAGGAAAGAAGTTCAGGAGGCTTAGGACAGGACAGAAGTGGCAGTCATCAGGAGAGGCAGGAGAATCTGACCAGGACAGCTTATTAGACCTGAGAATTGCAGCTTTCCCAGACCTATCACAACCAAGGACTATGCCAGTAAGTCAGAGCTGCCCTGGTGGCCATTACCAGGGAAGGGAAGAACGTCCAGGAATCTTGGAGGAGGGGAGTTGCTAAAGCACTGGCCCGTTGTCTGCGAGGCGCCCTCTTCCCTCGTTTTAGCTCCAGGAGGGCAGGGACTCTGCCTTGTGCAGCACTACCTCCCCAGTGCTGAGAAGGACCTGGCACATCACAGGCACTCAGTGAACCTTTCAGCTCACCCACTGACCCACAGGTCAGGCAGCAAGACCTCATTTCAGAAAAGAACTCAAAGATAGGTTGCCCCTATAAACTCCTTCTACTCCTTCTTCTTCAACTTCCTCTACCTTGCTCCAAACTTCTCAATGTGATCGAGAGCAAGTTAACCTCTCTGGGTCTGTTTCCTTGTCTATAAAAGAGGAATAACAATGGCACATAATTCACAGATTGGTAGAAAGTTACCACATGCTGAGTGCTGAGAACAGCTCCTCGCATGCAGAACTGGCTACCAATTTTATCTTCACCATCATCACCATCATTTCCATTTCTATCTCTCCTCTTCTTTATGTCTTTGCCACTTGATTTCTTTCATCTTTAACTTTCTTTAAAAATCTATTGCTTTCCTTCTATTATAATCCCCCGCCTCCCTTTGCTGCAAAGTAGCAACAGTTCCATCTCTCTAGGACATGTTCAGTGAGACAGGGACCCTTAGACTGTGGACACATCACTCATGCTCCTTGCTCCCCAGCACTCGCCCTCCCTGTCGAGAGCATGGCAGTGACATTCTCTTCATTCTTCTCACTGGAATCTGAGCCCAGTCATGGACACCGATGATTCTAGAAAGTGGCATCATGTAATTGACATTTCCAGTGCTTGGCAGAGTAACCAGTAGAGCATGTGTTTTTGCAATTTAAAACAGTGGTGACTGGGGAAGTAATAGGAATTTTAAACCTCCAAATTAATTTGGTTAAACAATGAAATCAAAATTGGTTTTGAGTCAAAACAGTCTTCATTTCCTACGAACAAGGTAAGAAAGAAGTTGTACTTCCATCTCCACCCCTATGACGATGAATGGGTGCTCTTTTCTGGGCTTGCTTCCTCCCTTCACTCTGGTAACAGCTGGCTGAAGGATCTGGAACACAGAGGCAGCTGGTATCCCTGCTCGTGGGGCCCCAGAAACCCTGGAGGGAGTTAGGAGGAGAGCTTGTGTAGGACAGAAAACCACCAGCACCCACCTAAGTCTATCATTCCTATCTCCCATAAATCATTGCCAGGGAGGAAAGGGGATGTATCTTACAAGTAAGGCAGAGGTGATGTCCTCCAGAGATATGAATTAGACAAATATCCTATGGCCAAACCCAAGACAGTTCTCTTCAGGGAATTCTGAACAAAAGCTGACTTTGGCACTACACTACATCCAGGGCAGAATGGTTAGAGAGGGGAACCAGGTCCTGGAAATCCAAGTCAATGCAGGTTCCAGTCCTCTGCCTCAGGCCCCACACTGTAGGGGGCAGGGACAGTTCCTGACCTTGGAAGTGAGCTTGGAGGAAACCTCTGGGTCCCACAATGCTAAGGCCTGAGAATAAAGTGGGGGGATACTGAGTAATCATACTCACCTCACCAGCGTGAAACATGTAAGAACAATATTAATCTCGTCTGCACTCTCTATTTTTGTATCTTACAAGGAGTAAGTCTAGAGGTGATTTACCCATGGGCAGAGGCCCAGTTATATGCGAGAAAGCCTTGGGCCGTGTGGGTAGAGCTGATGAGATCAGATTTGGCTCAGCTGCCCTCTCCTGTGCCTCCTCCAATGATAAAATGTTACTTTTTTTTTTAAGTGCTTATCACTGTCAGGCAATGGGCCAAGTGCATTTATATGTTATCCTTTTTTTTTTTTTTTTTTTTGTGGGTTTTTTGTTATGGGGGGCTTCCCTCCACAGAGAG